AGGACCCAGGACCCAGGACCCAGAATCCAGGACCCAGGACCCAGGACCCAGAATCCAGGACCCAGAATCCAGGACCCATTACTGTAGCTTCTTTGGGATTACAGTATCTCTCTTTTCAGACCTCCCAATTCTCAAATTCTGGATCTGGAACGTCGTCTGAAAATCTACTCAAATGCTTTCGAAGAAGAACGCGAGAAAAATGAAAGGCTGCAAAAACTATGCAACTCACAATTGACGAAAATTGAAGAATTGGAAAAGGAGCTTTCAAATTTCAAGGGACATCCTACAGTACCCCTAGTAACCCAGGATCTTCAAAATCTGTCAAAAACTCAGAAGAAAAAGGAGAAGGCGAAACTTCGAAATCAGAAGAAACAAGAAATCCCGGAAGTTTCGAATTCTGGAACTTCTGAAAATTCGCATTCCCCAAAACAAATTATTGAGTATTTTCGAGAAATTGGATTTCTGCAAAATCCAGAAACTTCGAAAATTCCGGATATTGAGAATGAAAGTGATCAAGATTATTTTGCAAGGCTGCATAGTATATGGGCTGGAGAGAATTCTTCAGAAAAATCAGATGGATCAAATCTACAGTAATCCTAAAATAATTTTTTGAAATAAAAAAAAATACTGTTTCAATTTATTGTAACCATTTTTTCTGTATATTCATTTTGCTAACGATCTCAACCATTGTCCTGATCTCAAATTTCCTCAGAATCTCAATTTTTCATAAAATCTCAATAAATATTTTTTTCACATCGAAATTTCCAGTTTTCCAAATCATTTTCAAAGGTTTCCTCACCTTTTCATACCTATTTCCCCATTTTTTTTTCAGAATTTCCAAAAATTGCTGTTTCAGAATGTCTGAAAATCCAAATTTCGAAGAACGTCTTCTGAATTCCTACCGTGATGCTCTCTTCAAATTGAAAGATGAAAATGAGGGACCAGAAAATGTTTGGGGCGATTTGTCCCAAATTTTATTGGAAGCTATTGGGAAGAATCATGAATTGGAGAAGCTGAAAATCGAGTTGAGTTGCAACAGGAGAAAGCAAAGAATTTGGAGATGTGAGTTTGAATTTGAATGAATAACCCCAAAATTTTGAAGTTTATCAACGAAACGCACCAAAAATCGAGTTTCTAGGGCAATTTTGAGCCTAGTTATGCTCATTTGAAGTTTGAAGAGGTGAGAGACGCGGAGAAACGAGACACGCTGCGTCTCTATCCCTGAAACTTCAAATGACCGTAATTCGGCTCGAAAAAAGCGAAAATTCAAAAAATCAGAACCTCTGTTGAATTTTAATGAATTGGTGCAATTTCCAGAGTCAAATTCTATGCAAAAAAAAACATGAATTTTCAGATTTTCGAAATTTCAGAGGTTTCTTAGTTTTAGCTGGTTTCTTTAGTTTGGTCGTGTGTTCTGTGTGAAACTTAAATTCAGCAAATTAGAAGTTGTACAAAAACTTTTAAAATTTTAAACAAATATTTACTGTTTCAACGGGAATTCAAATCATCAGAAGGATTTTGATGTGTCAATTAAAGGAGGCGAGACAGCAAAAATTTCGGGGGACAGTGTTGTGAATGCTTCAAATGATCAAAACTTTGAAAACTAGAAAAACTTGAAATTTTGCTACGAAACCCGCTAAGAATCAATTTTCTAGTTCAATTTTGAGCCAAGTTATAGCCATTTCAAGTTTTCGGCCAGAGATGCAGTGTGTCTCGTTTGTCTGCGTCTCTGACCTCGCAATTCCAAATGACTATAACTTGACTCAAAAGTGTCCTAGGAGCTTGAATTTTGGCCGGTTTTGTAGGAAATGTTATTTATTTTAAGCACGGATCGATTTATTGGAGGATCAATATCCAGATAAAGTATTTTTGAAACATTAAAGAAGGCGAGACAGCAAAAATTTCGGGGGCAGTTCGGGGGACGAAATCGCGCCGCGCTTATGTAGACTATCGGTCGTCAGGCGCCTTCGCGCCCCTGTAGCTCAGCCGGTAGCGGCGCTGTACCCCTGAGCTGCCTGTCATGAGTTCAACCATTCATGGGGGTTCTCTATGCAAAATATCAGGATAACTTCTTTTTTTTTGGTGTCTGACCTACTTTAACAAAAATCTAGAGTTTGCGTCTTAATGGTCAAAACACTACTCAAAAAGACTTCCAATGACCATAATTCTGCACAAAATTAAGCTATAAACTTGATTTTAAATGTGTTTTGTTGGAATTTCAAAGTCAATTTTCTTAATGTATGTTTGAAACTTGTTTGAGACCAAATTCAAGCTTCAAGGACAATTTTGAGCTGGGTTATGATTATTTGAAGTTTCGGGTAAGAGTCGCAGTGTGTCTCGTTTCTCTGCGTCTCTCATCTTTAAATTTGACCTAGAAAAAAAAATCGATTTTGAAAAATTACTCATCAACAGAATTTTTCGAAAATGAGAAAAAAATAGCTGTTTCAAAATTTGGTCACCCTTTTCAAGTATTTCATTGGCAATGTTTGAGTTAAGTGTAGACACAATTAAAAAAAAGAGAATATCCAGAAAAGGAAACTCAGAATTGTTTCACTGTTTCAGCTAAATTTCGAACAATCTTTCGATTCAGTAGATTCCGATAAATTTTGATGGTTCCTTTGTGTTGTATATTTTTCATAATTTTAAGAGGTTTTAGACCTAGTGGAATCTTTTTTTTTTTTAGAGGTTCGAAAAAAAAGAACTAAAAATCAAGTTCCTAGGGCTATTTTGAGGCGAGTTCTGGTCATTCGAAGTTTTTCGAGGTGAGAGACGCAGAGAAACGAGACACACTGCACCTCATCTCGGAACTTCAAATGACCGTAACTCGTCTCGAAATTGAGCTAGAAAATAGATTTTTGATGATAAATGCATTCCGATCCTAGTTTGATTAAGAACCGGAAATTCAAGTTTTTAGAACAATTCAAGAAAAAATAAAACTTTTAGAATTTTTTCACTGTTTCGCGAAATTTCGAATAATCGAAAAATATGGTAAATTTCGATGGTTTTCTGAAAATCCTTTTCAAAAATCCAAAAAAATTACGCTAAAAATCTAGCTTCTAGCTCGATTTTAAGCCGAGTTAAGGCCATTTGTAGTTTTAGGGTTAGTGACGCAGTGTGTCTCGTTTCTCTGCGTCTCTCACCCGAACAACTTTAATTGGCCATAACTCTGCTCAAAATTGAGCTAGAAACTCGGTTTTTAGTGCGTTTTGTTGGAAACCTGATCTCAAATTAAAAAAATATGTGTCCCAAAAAATCTAAAACTTCAGAACATTCCGGTAGTTTTTGGAATTTCAACTATTTTTTTTTGTATGTTTTCCAGAACCGGCTCTCTTGAAAATCAAATTCAACTTGAGGGTGCTCAAATCGCCGATTTGCTCAACATCCTCCAATCCAATCACTCTTATCAGGAGAATTTGAAATTGAAGGATAAAATCAGCGAGTTGGAAATTGATCTGGAATGGTACAAGGAGAAGGATGAGTACAGAAACATTGAGGGGGCAATTGAGAAGTTGAAATTGGAGGGACCAGAGGACAAAAGTGACAAAAAGGATGATGAATCTGAAGATTCTTGGACATCTTGGGAAGATGAAGAGAAATCGAAAAGTGGAGATAGTTTTAGTGATATGGATGATATTAAGGGATATGGAATATTCGATTAGATTGAAGGTAAACATTTTTTAATTCAGCTTCTGAATGAAAGTTCCAACAAAACCCACCAAAAATCAAGTTTCTGCGACGATTTTTAGCCGAATTATGGTCATTTGAAGTTTGAAGAGGCGAGAGACGCAGAGAAACGAGACACGCTGCGTCTCTCGCCCTAAAACTTCGAATGCCCATAACTCGGCTCAAAATGGAGCTAGAAAGTTGGTTTTTAGTGCGTTTTGTTGAAAATTTGATTTCAAATTATTTTTTGAAGAACATCGTTTTCCATGATTTTCCATGTTTTTCAAACTTGTTAGTGTCACCGAAAAATATCTAAACTTACTTACAGAACGCACGAAAAATCACGTTTCTAGCTCAATTTTGAACCAAGTTAGGGACAATTAAAGTTTCGCAGGTGAGAGACGCAGAGAAACGAGACACGCTGCGTCTCTCGCCCTAAAACTTCGAATGCCCATAATTCGGCTCAAAATAAACCTAGAAAGCTGGTTTTTTTTTCTGCGTTCTGCTTGAATTTTGACTTGAATTCAGAAAAACATTTTTTTTTCAAAATGTTTTCTTTGTTTTAACAAAAATTCAAAAAATCAGAACGTTGATTGAATTTGAGTGCGCTTTGGAAGTTCAAACCAATTGAAAAAATGAGCTCTTGAAATGTATGAAATTTCAGATAAGAATCATATTCTTTTTTAAAAAATTGCTGTGTCAAAAATTTTATTTTTAGAATTGAGATCTCAATAATTTTAGTGCTTTATGCATGCATTCATTTTCCAGATCTTCCGGCTATTCTCATTTTCTTCATTCAAAGTTGTAAAACTGTAATTAAAAAGATAAAATCGTTTAGTTTTCTTTTTTCCATATTCTTGTTAATTTTTCCAATTATTTTCTCAGGGATTTTTTTATGTATTTTTTGTCATTTTTTCGTTTAATCCATTCAATAAAAGTTTTTTTTTCTGTTTCAAAAAATGAGTATCATACTAAAAGTTTAATATAAAATCAATGAATTCAAAGTTTTTTTTCATTTTCTGTGCGCCCTCTCCCGTCGACCACAACTCTCCTCCCCCTTCCTATTCGCCTTGCCGTCTCTTTTCCTTCCGTGACTGCTTGGCGCAATGGTAGCGCGTTCGACTCCAGATCGAAAGGTTGGGCGTTCGATCCGCTCAGTGGTCAAAGTCTTTTTTCTTTTTTGTTTTTGTGTGTGGGCGCTTGAAAAACGTTTTTGACAATCTAAAAATGGTTTTTTGCACATTTTGAAGAATTTCCGAATTTCTGAATTTCGGAATTTCGGAATTTCCGAATTTCTGCATTTCTGCATTTCTGAATTTCTGAATTTCTAAATTTCTGAATTTCTGAATTTCTGAATTTCTGAATTTCTGAATTTCCAAATTTCCAAATTTCTGAATTTCGGAATTTCTGAATTTCTGATTTTCTGATTTTCTAAATTTCTGAATTTCTGAATTTCCGAATTTCTGAATTCCCGAATTTCTGAATTTCTGAATTTCTGAATTTCTGAATTTCTGAATTTCTGAATTTCTGAATTTCCGAATTTCTGAATTTCTGAATTTCTGAATTTCTGAATTTCCGATTTTCTGATTTTTTGAATTTCTGAATTTCTGAATTTTCTGAATTTTCGCGCCAAAAAATTCAAAATTTAAAAAAATCTATATTTTTCACGTGAAAATTTTTGCCGCCAGCTTCTGTGTCAGCACTTACCACATCTTGAAATTTGGCAAAAATCTGAAATCCGGAAAATTAAAATTCTGAAATTTTCTGAAAAGTCCAAAAATGTGGCTCGCCAATGAAGAAAAAAAGTGCTTGCTATTCGAATATGAACATGAAAAGTGTAGTAAGTTCGCTCTATCGAGAATTTAGCAATAAAGCGCTTTTCCAGAACCATCTGGCAAATCAAGGAGATTTGTGAATGCGTAAGTTTTTCTGAAAATCCAAAATATTGAAAAAAAAATCTGAAAATTCCAGAAACCGTCTTTTCTACACACTTTTCATTGTTTCTGTTCTAGTTTTTATTGGGTTGTATGCAGCGATCTCTTGGCATGATAAAGGTGAGAGGCACACGCGACGCAGCCGCGACGCACTAGTCAAAACTCAAAATTAAGCTAGCCTAGCCATGTTTAGGCTCTTTTTGAAGCTCTCAATTAGATAAATTTGAATTCGGCTATAAGTTAGTTTTAAAATAAGGATAAACTCGACTAGGCTAGCTTAAAAGTGGATTTTGGCTAGTTCCGTCAGACGCGTTGCGGTTGCGTTGCTGTTCAAAAATTTCAAAATTTTAGGGTTAAACAACTACTTCTCTACAGTTAATGATTCGAAATCAATCACCGATCAAGAAAATTCTACAAAATCGGATTCAGGAATTTCTGGAAATTCGACTATAATTCCGAATTTAACAACATCAGAATCTATCTCAACCACTCAAATTCCATTCAAAGATGATTGCTCAGTGCCAGTTTTTGATCCATGGGATGAAACTGTGAAGCCATTTCTGACAGATACAGATTTCACGAAAAATTGTGACCGAACATGGAAACCGTATACAGAATTGAAGAATGGCACATGGATAATCGTTCAGGAGAAGCCAGGAATGAATTGTAAAGCTAGGTGAGTAAAATATTTGAATTCGAGAGATTGATAGCTTCAAAATGAGCCTAAACAAGACTAGGCTAGCTTAGTTTTGGAGTTTGGCGAATTTCGTTTGCTGCGTCGCGGTCGCGTTGCGTGCGTTGGATGTGTTTGCGCTCATTTTGAAGCCGTGGATCTATATTTTTGAGATTTTTGCATACTTAGTGGTTTTTAGAATGTTTTCAGTTTTAAAATGAGTCCTCATACGCATAAGTTTGTCTGTACGCAACGCAACCGCGACGCACCCAACAGAACTTGTCAGACTTTAATTTTGAGCTAGTCTATTTGTGTTTGGACTCATTTTGAAGCTCTGAGTCTGGATTTTTAGAGTTTTTCATATTTTAAAGCTATTCAAAATGAGTCCCCATGCAAATTGGTCCGTCAACACGCAACGCAACTTCGACGCATTCAACGTAACTCGTCAACATTCAAATTTGAGCTGGCATAGTCGTGTTTAGGATCCTTTTTAAGGCTCTAAACTGTACAAAATCGGATTTATCCATGCGTCAGCTTCAAAATGAGCCTAAACACGACTATGTTCCCTCGACACGCAACGCAACCGCGACGCACCCAACGGAATTTGCCAGAATTCAAAATTAAGCAAGCTTAGTCGTGTTTGAGCTCATTTTGAAGCTCTCAACCTCTATTTTTCAAAAAATAAGTTTTTCAGATGCCATCACTTCCCTGATCTCACCTCATCCGTCAAAATCTCTGATTGGTTCGAACCAGGGCCCACGGATTGCGAATTTTTGGAAGCTGCGTGTTGGGAAAAAGGTTTTTTTAGTGAGAAAGAGGTCTATGGATATATTCATACACAAATTCCGCCCTCAAAGTAAGTGTAAAAGGTTTGGAAAATCTGAAAATTCGAAAAAAGTTTAGGCGCGAAAAGATGGAAAAGCCGAAAATTCGAAAATCCGAGAATCCCGATGTTTTTGTGTTCATCCTAGATTCAATCACACCTCATTCAGCTAAACGGTGAGATTTCTGAATTTTAAGATTTTCGAAATTCCAGAAAATGTTCCAGATCCCTTCCCAAGACCCTTGAACACTTCAAATCCAAACATCAGGCCGTCGATTTTCCGTTTTTGAGTCAAGTGGGAGTGAGAAGTCAAATGAACGCTTTCGCACTGTTTTTCGGTTTGTCCCAATGCGCTCTATTGATAACGAAATTCAAAAAAAATTGATTTTTTTAGGAAAACAAGTGGAAGCTGGTACAATTAAAGGCGGAAAACCATTGGAAGCGGATTGGGCTGAAGAGGAGTACTGTAAGAAATATTTGGATGATAAGCCCAATATTTTCCGGGATTTTGGAGAAGCTGGGTATACGGTAGGTTGAAATTAAGGGAGAAATGAGAATAAGGAAGTTGGTGGCTTTAGAATGAGCCTAAGCACGACTATGCTAGCTCAAATTTGAGTAATGGCAAGTTCCGTTGGATGCGTCGCGGTTGCATTGCGTGTCAAGAAGTGTTCGGGCTCGTTTTGAAGTTTTAGACATCTAGTAAAACATGCAACATGCAAAAATTCAAAAATCTCAAGTTTAGGCCTTCAAAATGAGCCTAAACACGACTATGCTAGCTCAAATTTGAATGTTGACGAGTTACGTTGAATGCGTCGCGGTTGCGTTGCGTGCTGACATACCAATTTGTACTGGGACTCATCTTGAAGCTTGGGACATTTTAAATAGCTTTTTAACTATTAAAAAATCTGAAAAATCCAGACACAGAGCTTCAGAATGAGCCTAAACACGACTATTCAAAACTCAAGCTAGAATGAGTTCTCTTGTATGCGTTGCGGTCGCGTTGCGTGTCTCGGGGTGTTTACACTCATTTGGAAGCTTTGAACGTCTACTAGATTATAAAATGAGTAAAAATATGAAACTCTCTTTCGAGCTTCAAAATGAGTCTAAACTATCTTAAATTGGAGATATGCTATCTTAAATTGGAGCTATGATGAATTCCCTTGCGTGCGTCGCGGTTGCTAGGGGTGTTATGCTGATTTTGAAGCTCGAAAAACGCCACATTCAAATTTCACTTTTTCGATGCTTAGGAACAGATCCATGCAAGACTAAGCTGACATTTAAAATTTCAGACTGTCCACATTGACGACTGGTACCTCCAGACCCTCACATATAACCCGGTTTGCTTAGGCTTTGAACATTACTATACAAATCACACCTTCTATCCGTTTACCTATATTAATGAAGTTTCTGGAATCAAGAAAACCAAGGATAGCTTAAAAGGAAGCGATTTGTGTCGAGAGTCTTATCACGGAGCAATCGATTATTTCGATCAGTTCGCTGAGGCTTATTCAGGTTACTGTAGTTTTCGTGAAGGCGGGAAATTTGAATTTTTCAGATCGCCCGATGTTTGCTCTCCAGTGGTTTGTCATGTTGGGACATGAGAAATTAACCTGGGCAAAAAGAGGAGATGATTCGATATTGGCATGGTTTGAGAGGAATTTTGAATTGGTATGCTAACTTTCGAGCGATGTAGCTTGAAAACTAGAAAAGCTAGAGAGAAAAAATCAACTATGTAGTTGTGTAAAATATTATAAACTACATGTTTGTCTCTTGCAACTTTTTTCTAACTAGCCTAGTTTTTGAGTTATGCGCCTTTAAGTTTTATGTGGATGTGACGCAGAGACGCCAGACGCTCTAGCTTCTCTGCGTCTCTTATCTCTAATTTTTCTAAAAATTTTCAGTTTGACAACGCCTTTGTGATCATAACATCAGACCACGGATTCCGTGCTGGGTCTTCGGATTACTATCAAACGGAAATTGGAGCATTTGAGAAGCATAATCCGTTTTTACAAATTTCGGTTCCCAAGAAATATCGGGATAATGGAATTTTGGAGGTTATGAAAGAGAATGCACAACGATTGCAAACTCATTATGATACAAGAGCAACGATTTTGGATATTTTGAAGGTAGGTGAGATAGTATGAAGAGTAAGGAGAGGGTAGAGAAGCCAGAGAGTCTGCGTCTATCACCTAAACTTTGATGAGGTATATCTCGAGAACCACTGACGCTATCAAAAAGGTGTTCACTAATAAAGTATGAAACATTTAATGTTTTAAATTTTTGTAGTTGATAACTTTTTGATAGCTACTATAGTTTTGGAGATATAAACGCGAGAACAAAAATGCGCCAGAGCTACACTGTCAGCTTTCAACTTTAGCCGCCTATATCTCACAAACCAAAAAAGTGATCAAAAATTTGTCAACTAATAAGATGTGTAACATTTTGCGCTTTACATTTTTCAATTAACAACTTTTTGATAGCAATTTTATTTTCCAAGTTACAACTCATTTTCCAGTACCAACCCTCCTTTAACTTCACCGGCCGTTCCACCCTAAAAATCTCTGACGAAAAAGGCAACTCCTATCTTCGTCACCAACCAAACTTCCCTAGAAACTGTGAACATTTACCAATTCCTCAGCAGTACTGTATCTGTAAATCAAAGTCTACGGATATGATGAATGTGTAAGGACATCTGCATATACAGATATACAGGATGAAATTTTTTCAGGGACGGACTGGCCGACCGTTTTGGTAACGCTCTTTTGAAACATATAGAAGATGAATTGGTCAGATTGAATTTGACTTCTTTGTGTCACTCATTTAAAGTTACAGAAGTGAGTGTTTTTTTTTAATTTTCAAATTTTCTCTGCGCTCTCTCGATCACCACCACTCTCTTCCCCCTTCCTATACGCCTTGCGGCATCCTCTCTCAGTGTGACTGCTTGACGTGCTTTTTTGAGTTATGCGCCTTTAAGTTTTATGTGCAATGGTAGCGCGTTCGACTCCATATCGAAAGGTTGGGCGTTCGATCCGCTCAGTGGTCAAAGTCTTTTTTGTTTTTATATGTGGACCCCTAAAAAGCATACTTGTAATCTGGGCCTTCGCGGTCCCTGCCATAACTTCTTTCAGAATCAATTTTCTCTGCAATCTAACTCAATCCAGGTATGATAGAGCTCCACGAGTACTACAGAACGGTATCATTTGAAATACGGTATCTTGTCTATGAACAGAGTTACAGAGCAAAAGGAACAAAAAAAAGCAGCGGGCCCTGCGAGAAAAGTCACTTTATGATCTGTAACTTTGTTCATAGATAAGATACAGTATTCCAAATAATACCGTTTTGTAGTACTCGTGGAGCGCTATCATATTTGATTTAGTTGGTTTGTAAATATAGATTCTGAAAGAAATTATGGCAGGGCCCGGCAAAGGCCCGGATTACAAGTATGCTAAAAAGTCTTTTGGGACCATTTTTGACCTTCGGAGACCCTTTTCATCATTTTTACATAACTTTTCAGGTCGTTTCACTCGATCTACATGGCGACAGCATTGGTTCCAATGCCATGTACCATATTTCTGTGAAGACCAATCTTCCAGCACACTTTGATGCGGTTATCACAGAGGATAAGGAAACAGGAAAAATGGAATTTAAGGAAATTGAAAGATTGGATCGATACGGGACAACTGCCGACTGCTCAGCACCTATTAATTTTACTTCTCTTTGTTATTGTAAAAATTGATTGGTTTCTAGGGGAAAAGGGGTTTCAATAAAGTTTTTGATTGGAAAATTTGCAAACCAAGAAGTTCTGGAAAAATCGGAAAAATTGGAACCATAAATAACCAGAATATCATATCAAAACCGAAGAGAGAAGACCAAAAACGAGCCCAGCCATATTTTTGTTTAGGATCATTATTTTTGAACCAAATAAAATGGACATAATAGAAAGTCTCAAGAGCTACAAAATGATACTATTCGAATTGCTGTATCTGGTCTATGAATAAAGTTACAAGCCATAAAACCACGGGATTAAAATTTTTTCTGAATTTTTTTCCTTTTTTTGGCTTTTTAAACAACATTTTAGAATGCAAACCTAGAAAAAAATCCTTGAACAATTCTAGAAACTTTAAATGTTATATTATTTGAATTCTTATTTTTTTGGTCCATTTCAGATTTTCTAAATTTCCCCCTTTCTCTGCGCCCTCTCCCGTCGACCCCCACTCTCCTCCCCTTTCCTATACGTCATCCAAACTCTTATTCTCCTGTGACTGCTTGGCGCAATGGTAGCGCGTTCGACTCCAGATCGAAAGGTTGGGCGTTCGATCCGCTCAGTGGTCAAAGTCTTTTTTCTTTTTTGTTTTTGTGTGTGGACCACTGGAAAGTGGTTTTTTTTGCAATTTTAGGGCTTCATACTGTTTACAATTGAAAATACGGTCTTCTATTAAAAGTGTTTTTTGCAGTTCAACGGTCAAAAAGGGGTCCTTCAGGTTCTAAACTTTATTAATTCTAATATATACAAGAACACAAAAACAATAATATTAATCATCATTTCCTACAATAACAAAGCGGAGTGAATCGAATCGGTTTCGAGCAGTCTGCAGTGTCCTTATACTTATCCAGCCTTGTAATTCCTCCGAATTCCAAATTCTTCGTTTTCTTATCTTCTGTGATAAGCGTCTCAAAGTGTGCTGCATGTTTAGTCTTCACAGATATATCATAGGTGGATTTAGAGGTGGATTTAGAGATGTGGAGGTCCAAAACGGTTACCTAAAAAATTTTTGATTTTGAAAAAATCAATAAAATTGTTTCAAATGTTTTGTTCTGTGCGAAAGCCCTGTAAATTTCAGTTAAAGCTTACAAGGAATCAATTTTTCTAGCTCAATTTTGAGCCGAGTTATGGGCATTCAAAGTTTCGCAGGTGAGAGACGCAGAGAAACGAGACACACTGCGTCTCTAGCCTCCTAACTTCAAATAGCCATAACTCTGCTTAAAATCGTCGTAAAACGCTGATTTTCATACAGTTTTGTTGGAAATTTGATTTCAAATTTTTGGATTGAATTTTGAACATTTTGAAAAAACTTTTTTTTTCGAGGATTCTTAATTTTTTGAACCATTTTAGAGTCACAAAAATATTCCAAAATTTGCATACATGTAAATTTTAGTTAAAGCTTACAAAAAATCAAGTCCCTAGCTCAATTTTGAACCAAGTTATAGTCATTCGAAGTTTCACAGGTGAGAGACGCAGAGAAACGACACACACTGCGTCTCTAACCTCCTAACTCCAAAGGCACATAACTCGGCTCAAAATGAAGCTAAAAACTTGGTTTTTGGTTTGTTTTGTTTGAATTTCAAATTGAATTCAGGAAAGTAAACGTTTTTCTCTGGAAAAATCCAATAGAGCGCACTTTCTTACCTTCTCAACTTCAAACTTATGACACAACGAGGTTAGATTCCATCCATCAAGTTTTCCATGTACATAATCTATTAAACTTTTCGACAAACGCTCAATCAGCTTTTTACTGTAAAAACATCAATTTCTCTGTTGATCCAGATGTCCATAATCACTTACTCTTTCAGCATACTTGTCGTGTTCGATTGACAAATACAGTATTGCTCAGGAATTGGCAAAGTTTCACAGTTTCGAGGGGTACTTGGCTGGTGACGAAGATAGGAGTTGCCTTTTTCGCCAGGAATTTGGAGGGTGGAACGGTCGGTGAAGTTAGAGGAGGGTTGGTACTGGAAAATGGGTTGTAACTTGGAAACTGAAAATGCTATCAAAAAGTAGTTAACTGCAAAACTATAGAACGCAAAATTTTACACATTTTAGTAGTGGACAACTTTTTGATAACGTTATTGGTTCTTGAGATACAGGCGTCCAAAGTTTAAGAACCCGTTTGATGGTCCGTCGATCATCTGTCGGCAGCCGACCGCTTAACTCAGCGGTGCACCTCTTTCAAGCGTTTTTATCTCAAAAACTGAACAAGCTATCAAAAAGTTGTCAATAACAAAAATGTAGAGCTTAAAATTTCACCCATTTTGTTAGTTATTAACTTTTTGATAGCTTTTTTCCTTCTCGAGATATAGCTGCCCAAATAGACGCAGTCACTTTCGCTTCTCTGCCCTCTCCCCCTTTCCATACTCTCTCGCTTACCTTCAAAATATCCAAAATAGTTGCTCTCGTATCATAATGACTCTGTAACCTTCCTGCATTTTCTCTCATAACCTCTAAAATTCCATTATTCCTATATTTCTTGGGAACCGATATCGTCAAAAATGGATTAATCTTTTCTAACGCCCCAATTGGCGTGTTGAAGAATTGCTGAGATCCTAACCGGAATCCATGGTCAGCCAGGAAAATCACAAACGCGTTGTCGAGCTGAAAAAGATAGGAAATTCAATTTGAGACAAGTTATCCGTTTACAACTTTTCTCTAGCTACTGTAGTTTTTGAGATATGCGCCTTTAAAGTGGGCACTCACTTTTGAGGCACCCTCAGATGTGTCTTTTTTCAAAGACGCATATCTTCAAAACTACAGTATGTAGAAAAAAGTTGTCAACTACAAAAATGTGTAAAATTAAATTTCATACAAATTACCAATAAAGAATTGTATTTTAGCTACTCTAGTTTTTGAGATATGCGCCGTAAAATGTTCAAAATTCAATGTTACACATTTTTAGGCTCTATATGACTTTTGATTGAAGTTTGTAGGAATCTTTAAAAACCATTTTTGCCAAAGCAAAAAAAAAACAAAAAAGGAAAATCACAGACGGGGGATCGAACCAAAAACTCTAGGCTTGATGACCAACAGTGTACACCACTAGACCAACTGTGCACATTTGATAACAAGGAGAGAATGCAATCATAATACAAGACACGTGTGAAAACAATTTGTTTCTCATTTTTAAAAATCAAAAAAAATATTTGAAGAAAAAATTCACGTTTCGTAAAAAACTTTTTTTTTCAAAAAGTGAAAAAATAGAGCAAAAAGATAAGAATCTCCCTGAATTTTTCGTATATAAGGAATGAGAAAAACAGTGAGAGTCGTCAGTTCCCGGATGGGAACTGGTATCCAGCTGGAAAGAGCTTTAGCTCTCGGAGCTCCGGCTGCTCAGGGATCCGGACCTGAAGCTCTAGGAGCCGGAGTACTGGGTCCTGGGTCATGGGTCCTGAAGTCGTTGGAACTGGAGCTATTGACGGTATCGGAGCTGGTGGAGATGGAATCGGAGCTGGTGGAGATGGAATCGGAGCTGGTGGAGGCGGAATCGGAGCTGGTGGAGGCGGAATCGGAGCTGGTGGAGATGGAATCGGAGCTGGTGGAGGCGGAATCGGAGCTGGTGGAGGCGGAATCGGAGCTGGTGGAGATGGAATCAGAGCTGGTGGAGGCGGAATCGGAGCTGGTGGAGATGGAATCGGAGCTGGTGGAGGCGGAATCGGAGCTGGTGGAGGCGGAATCGGAGCTGGTGGAGATGGAATCGGAGCTGGTGGAGGCGGAATCGGAGCTGGTGGAGGCGGAATCGGAGCTGGTGGAGATGGAATCGGAGCTGGTGGAGATGGAATCGGAGCTGGTGGAGGCGGAATCGGAGCTGGTGGAGATGGAATCGGAGCTGGTGGAGATGGAATCGGAGCTGGTGGAGATGGAATCGGAGCTGCTGGGGATGGATTCGAAGCTGGTAGAAATAGAATCGGAGCTGGTGAAGATGGATTCGGAGCTGATGAAGATGGATTCGGAGCTGATGAAGATGGAATCGGAGCTGGTGGAGGCGGAATCGGAGCTGGTGGAGGCGGAATCGGAGCTAGTGGAGATGGATTCGAAGCTGGTGGAGGTGGAATCGGAGCTGGTGGAGGCGGAATCGGAGCTGGTGGAGATGGATTCGGAGCTGGTGGAGATGGATTCGGAGCTGCTGGGGATGGATTCGGAGCTGCTGGGGATGGATTCGAAGCTGCTGGGGATGGATTCGGAGCTGCTGGGGATGGATTCGAAGCTGGTAGAAATAGAATCGGAGCTGGTGAAGATGGATTCGGAGCTGATGAAGATGGATTCGGAGCTGATGAAGATGGAATCGGAGCTGGTGGAGGCGGAATCGGAGCTGGTGGAGGCGGAATCGGAGCTAGTGGAGATGGATTCGAAGCTGGTGGAGGTGGAATCGGAGCTGGTGGAGGCGGAATCGGAGCTGGTGGAGATGGATTCGGAGTGGTGGAGATGGATTCGAAGCTGCTGGGGATGGATTCGGAGCTGCTGGGGATGGATTCGAAGCTGCTGGGGATGGATTCGGAGCTGCTGGGGATGGATTCGAAGCTGCTGGGGATGGATTCGGAGCTGCTGGGGATGGATTCGAAGCTGCTGGGGATGGATTCGAAGCTGCTGGGGATGGATTCGGAGCTGCTGGGGATGGATTCGGAGCTGGTAGAAATAGAATCGGAGCTGGTGAAGATGGATTCGGAGCTGATGAAGATGGATTCGGAGCTGATGAAGATGGAATCGGAGCTGATGAAGATGGAATCGGAGCTGGTGGAGGCGGAATCGGAGCTAGTGGAGATGGATTCGAAGCTGGTGGAGGTGGAATCGGAGCTGGTGGAGGCGGAATCGGAGCTGGTGGAGATGGAATCGGAGCTGGTGGAGATGGAATCGGAGCTGGTGGAGATGGATTCGAAGCTGCTGGGGATGGATTCGAAGCTGCTGGGGATGGATTCGGAGCTGCTGGGGATGGATTCGAAGCTGCTGGGGATGGATTCGGAGCTGCTGGGGATGGATTCGAAGCTGCTGGGGATGGATTCGGAGCTGCTGGGGATGGATTCGAAGCTGCTGGGGATGGATTCGAAGCTGCTGGGGATGGATTCGGAGCTGGTGGAGATGGAATCGGAGCTGGTGAAGATGGATTCGGAGCTGATGAAGATGGAATCGGAGCTGGTGGAGGCGGAATCGGAGCTGGTGGAGATGGAATCGGAGCTGGTGGAGATGGAATCGGAGCTGGTGGAGATGGATTCGAAGCTGCTGGGGATGGATTCGGAGCTGCTGGGGATGGATTCGAAGCTGCTGGGGATGGATTCGGAGCTGCTGGGGATGGATTCGAAGCTGCTGGGGATGGATTCGAAGCTGCTGGGGATGGATTCGGAGCTGGTAGAAATAGAATCGGAGCTGGTGAAGATGGATTCGGAGCTGATGAAGATGGATTCGGAGCTGATGAAGATGGAATCGGAGCTGGTGGAGGCGGAATCGGAGCTGGTGGAGGCGGAATCGGAGCTAGTGGAGATGGATTCGAAGCTGGTGGAGGTGGAATCGGAGCTGGTGGAGGCGGAATCGGAG